ACCAAATCCGCTTTCAATTGTTGATGCATAGCTCGATCACGAAGTTGAGTTCTAGTGGCCATCATATTACGAGATTTGATGGAGATGATTAGCTAACTCCATACCGACGGCCGTAGGTAGTTAACATCGGCGATTCCTCCGATTTGGGTCGATTTCAACGAAATCATCTCCGGTTTCGTTCCTCGTTGAAATCGCGTAAAAGAGAGAGAGAGAGAAAAGAAAAGAAAAAACATGTTTCCGATTATTTTCTAGTATATATATTTAACCTGGCCTGGGCGTTCGGTTTTTACGATCGGTTATCGGTTAGGTCCATTCGGTTTCGGTTATTTTGGTTCTAAAATTTAGTATTTTCGGATATTTTTGGATATTTTTGGTTATTTTCGAGTATTTTTACTATTTTTATATATTTTCAAGTATTTTTTGTTATTTGGTTTATAAATAACTAATTATTTTGAAAATATAATTGTATTTCGGGTATTTTTGGTTATCCGAAATATTGCAGTTCGGTACCGATTCGGTTATAGTTATTTCGGTCATAGAATTTAGTATTTATTTGGTTATTTTCAAATTTTCGGTTCGATTCAGTTCTTTTGGTTTCGGTTTCAGTTCGGTACATTCGGTTCGATTTATTTGCCCATGCCTAATTTAACCCATCAACCACTCATACACGGACACGTGGCCGTCTCTTAGCTTCAGTTTTGGCTCTTAACTAAGAGACGTCTCTTAACTATAAGTTTGATTTCTGAATTAAATTAAATCAATTAATGCCTAAAATATATCTAAGAATTTGTTAATACCTTACATTTATCAGCTCATATATCTCTTACGTCGTGAAGAATGTCTTCTCGCGGATTATGCAAATAAAGACACACCAACAGGGATACACATATTGCTGGTCCAAGCTAATATATATGCCTCTCAGCTATTTGGTCGAAACTTTACATTCATTAGCTCTTCTTCTAGCCGCAATCAACAATGAGGTAATCTTTAAATAGGCACAAGAAGAGTAGCCTCTACAAGAAAACATCGTGTAACCGACGAACAAAATCATTGATAATCCGTCGGTTAAGACCATAACCGACGGTTTCCCGACACATTATGGTCGCCGGTTCTAGAGCGTCAGTAATAGATATTCCGTCGGTATTTTGTCGGGGAGGTCGACGGATTACCGACGGCTATATTCCCAACGAATTTGCAACGAATCAATACCGTCAGTAATATAGTTGTCGGTAATCCGTTTGGTTTAACACCGACGGTTAACCGAGACATGGCTGATGGTTGTTACCGACGACGAACCGGCGAGTTACCGTCTGTTTTCTGTCAGTAAATACCGACGGATATGAGTTCGTTACTAAATCCGTTGGTTTTGCCAGTGTTTTCTTGTAGTGCCAAGATATATTTTTACATATTTGATATTATCATGAATAAGAAAAAATTATGTTTTTTTATATTTTCTAAATAATTACTATGATTCGCATGTGTATAGGGAAGAGTAGCTAACTATGCATTTACTCGTTAGGGTTTCATTAGATTCGGCTCCAATATTTGTGGAGGAGCTTGTTGGAGATTATGTCCGTGGAACTGCGTTTCCAAGACATATCCGTTTGTAATTTCGGTTTTCTTGTTCTTGTATAATTTGTGGGGAGACATTGTCTCCCGTCCCCTACCAAAAGTAATGATTCACGTGAAAATTTATTTATAATTGAGTTATAAGATATTATTCTATATCCAAACTATAATTGATAGCATAATCAACTATTTAACACTTCTAGTAACATTATAGAAAGAGCAAATATATATATATATATATATATATATATATATAAAGAGCAAATATATATATATACATATATAAAAAGAGCAAATATATATATACATATATCTCAGAAAGAAAAAGAAAAAATTTAATGAGAAACTTTTATACAAACTGAAATTACCACTCTTAATTTCCCATAAGCATGTAAATGCATATAAAAATTTGGTACTTATAGTGTGTTCTATAGAAAACATTGTCACAAACTAAAATAAATGAAACACACTATTTTGTTAAGCTAAAATAAACTAGTAATACACACATTGTAGACAATCCATTTTGTTAAGCAGAATACAAACATTATTTTTCCCCTAAAATATCATAGCTTTAACTAATTTACTTCGATTTGCCATCATCCAAGAGCAAAATTATATATCCCTTTTTATAGATGATTCTTAATTTCTAGTACAATATCACATCATCATCATTATTGGTTTAAGTATAACTTATATGATAGTTATACTGTCTAATTTCACGTGAACAATATTACAAACATATGCAACTGTAACTAGACAATGCAACAAGCATTAGGGTTTTCATCACTGAACAATTGTGGAGCGTATACGTAGTGGACAAAGTAAGGTATGTTTCCATCTTTATCTTTTTGGCCCTCAACTTTTACTTTCTCTTTAAATTCCACAACTTGAGTAATCGTTTTGGTCACTTCTATTTTTACTTCTTCTTTCTTTTCCTCTCCTTCCTTCTTCTTCTTCTCCTCTTCTTTCTTCTTCTCGTCTTCTTTCTTCTTCTCTTCTTCCTTCTTCTTCTTATCCTCTTCTTCCTTCTTCTTCTCTTCTTCGGTCTTTGAGCTTACGATCTCTGCATGTTTGTGAACTTTCTTCTTTATATAGGTTAAAAGTTTTGCGGTATCTATAGTCCCTTGTACCGTTAGGGTTTGCGCCTTTGTATCAGTTTTCACGATGTGAATAGCTGCCAAAATAACCAAGTTAGAATCCAAGCACTGGACTAATGAATCAATATAAGATTTTAAGATTTATTTCTGTATGTTTCCCCCTTCATTTGTTACTACTTCGAACAATTATTTTAAATAATATTTCGATCGACTCAATCTTACCTTTGTGTTTCAAGAGTTTGTGCTGAAGATCTTTGTCACACTGTGGGCAATGAATGTGTACCTTTAGTACTGTCGTACGAATAACTTCCTGTGGATTATTAAAAGTAAACACACAAATGCTTTCAGTCTTTCACACACATACAGGTACATATATCAATATATGGTATGTAATTATGGAAGCAAAATTTACCTTTTTGACCTCGGTGGTCTTCTTTTCTTCCACAGAAGTAGTTGTTGTGGTTGTAGTGGTGGTTTTCTTAACCTCAGAAGGTTTGGGAGCGATGAGCTCAACTTTTTTCTTGCTCCATTTCTCGATTTGCTTGTGAATCTTCACGACTTCTATTTTCCCTTTTACTTTGATCTCATTCTTCTCCAAATCAAAGTCCACATTATGAACCCCTACAAGATTATATTATTCATTAATCAAAATTTACTACATCACTATCAATTCTCCACATGATCGTTAACCGTGCCGCGCTTGTGGATTATTATTATTATTTTTTTTTTTAATAATAAGTCTTAAGGGAAACTATCTATACATGCAGGAGAATAACTCTCGACAGTAGATTGACCCATCTCTTCTCTGAAACAGTGGAAACTACTTTTTATATATATGACGACTTGTAAACTTAAGGCCATCGTTTAGACAATGAAGCCTAACCTTGGAATCGAAGGAGAGGCTTTTTGATGTCGCATGCACATTTCCGGCAGTGAAGGTGAACCTTGTAAACGGCCGTGATGATTTCCTCCCCTTTCTCTTTCTTCTCTTCTTTTTCTCCCATTTTTTTTGTTCTGCAATTCTAAATTTTAGTTTTGTCTGATACGATTATTATTACATCGCTTGCTTTCCTCTTGTGCCTTTCCTTTGGGTTGGCACCTTCCTATTATGTTATAAGTTTTGTTTTGTTTTTCTTTGGTCTGTACAACTGCACGTAGAAAACGCCAAGGAGAAAAGAAACTAGGACTTCAATCACGACAAGAACAGTCTGATATGATAGAAGTTATATATAAACTAATGTAATGTAATTTGAAAAAAATGACAAATTGTTTGACACGTTAAATAGCTAGGTTTGGTTTGAGTTTATATATTCAAAGACTATTGCAGTTCATTTACGTAATTACTATACAAAACATGGGTGTGCATATACGGAAAAACTTAAAACAGCAAGATATATGTTCCAGTGCATGGCATGGCATAGGGTTTTCACGTTCTATTTAACAAGTACACACCACTTCTAAGCTATTTTAAAGCACCGATGCCACGAACAGGAGGACTACGATATGTACTTTCTCAGAATTTAGATACCTATTATGCTTAATTAATATATATATCCAAGAATATTCTCAGCGGTCTACTTTTATATATGAAAAAGTCCATTTGATCGTGCCAACTCTTCAATTACTTGGTTGAATTTTGTAAAAGGTGGTTTACCAGTTATTCCAGTTCTATTCGTATTTTTGTTTATATAAGCTAGCTAACAAATTATATATGTGAATGTGATTTAAGCAATCTACCTAAGACACATAACTGATATATGATATTTAAACTGAACTAGAGTACTTAATGTCTTTTTTGTTTATTTATTTTTAAATTTACTTAAACGTGGAGTTCTTGGTCGGACCCATGCCTCTTAAACGATTAGAAAACAAATGTGTTAAGACTCTAAGCTCCAAAAAGAAAAAAACGAAATCAACTAATTGAAGTTTTATCATTGATGATCCAAATTCCAAACCATTTGAAAATGGTCAATTATTAGTTTCGTATGTAAATCTTCAATTTTGCTTTATCATTCAGTTAACGTATTCATGATAACTACTTAAATAAATAGTTTAAATGGAAGAAAACACAAAATCGTTTTTTGTTACATCAAATTTATAATAATCGCAAAATATATGGATTTGTAACTTTTAAAGGTTGAAAGATCCAAAAACACGATTTTTTTTAACACAAGTTTTTACAAATTGCATACATTAAATCACATTAATGATACAAAACGGTAAAACTCTTTTCGCAAAATAAAATAAAATAATACTCCATACGATATCAAAATTATTAATTGTTGAGGTAGATTGTGAGGTAGTTTTTATTCGATATAGGAGGATTTGCTTGTCGTTACTTGTTTTTTTACTAACAGTTTGGTTTAGGCTTTTCAGAAATTAGAAAATTCTGTAGGTGAAGTGTGGTTACTTACTTTCGAGTTTAAATGTTTGGTCCTTGCTTTCGTTCGTTGGTTTAGTTTTTGGCATCTGCGTATGTTTTTTTGGGATATTCTCATTTTTTCGGCTTTACTTTCGGAGGTTTTAATCCTACCGACTCATGTAATATTTATTGTAGAATATAGTAAAACTTTTGGGAAAAAAAAATAATCTAAAAATACAGATTTTGTGATTAGTAATTATAAAAACGGTAAAAATCCTATACCACAGGTGCAATGATACGTGTTTACTAACCAAAACCAATAAAATAAAGCTTCACATGAGCGAAAGAAAGCCAAAAAAAAGGCACAAAGAACGAGAAACACGTGGACTCTCTCACGAGGAGGTGTCTGATTTTGTCTGTTTTTGTTTTTATGATTACACACAGAATCCATTTCCGCAAATCGGATTCATGTTTTTGCTTTATCGTAGGCTTCCTTCATTTGCACGAACAACAACAACCCTTCTCTGCAAATCTATGGAGCCTGCGATATCAACAGCGACTTCCTCTTTCGGTGGTGGGTCTTCTCGACTCTCCGCTTTGGCCCAGCAACTTCGCCGATACAAGCCGCCACCTTCTTCATCCTTCGATGACGCCGAGGAGATGCAGACAGATCAGGAGACCGCCGGGAAAGTGGTTTCTCAGGTTGGATTTCAGGAATCTATTGCTCCGGTTTCGAAAGACCCTGAGAGGTTTAAACCCAAGAGAGCTGCTGTGTTGATCTGTATCTTTGAAGGAGATGATGGTGATTTGCGTGTTATTCTTACTAAGAGATCTTCCAAATTGTCTACTCACTCAGGTTCGATTTAAAGGTTTCGTCTTTTAACTTGGAAATCATTGGCTTCTTTCATTTTTTGGTCAATGAGTTTGGTCTACTGATGAATTTGAGGTGGTTGTTAATAAAGGTTGTTTTTTTTTTGGTGGTTGCAGGAGAAGTTTCACTGCCAGGTGGGAAAGCGGAGGAGGATGATAAAGATGATGGGATGACTGCAACCAGAGAGGCTGAGGAAGAGATTGGATTGGACCCTTCTCTTGTTGCTGTTGTCACTTCCCTCGAACCATTTCTCTCTAAGGTATTAAGATGGTTATAATTCTTTTTGTCTTATTGGTGATGCATGTTCTTAGTGAGATCAGAATTTGGGATTGACATTGAAGTGGGGGTTTTAGACTATCTTGCTGATCTTCTGTGCTTGGACATTAACGTCATAGTAGGAGTAACCAGTCGCTCTATTCATCTTTGATTCTTGAACTTCTATGTTAGCTGTATTATATCATAGTAGCAGAGATCTGGTAGCTAAAGTGACGGTCTTGAACGCTATGTAGGTTTTGATCCTGAATGTTCTTAAGTAGGAGTCGTGTTAATACGGCAGAGTGTTGCCTTTTTGTTGTCTTTTGGGCTCTAAGGCAGATGTTCCCTGCCTTATGTCAAGCTTTCTTTTCCTTTTCTGAAGTGAGAGATGCATGATTCTCCATTTCTGATAGATATTTTTCTTACATGCGCGTCATTGTCTTACAGCATCTGCTAAGAGTAATTCCTGTGATAGGAATCTTGAGGGACAAAACAAAATTCAATCCGACACCAAATCCTGGGGAAGTGGAAGATGTGTTTGATGCACCCTTGGAAATGTTCCTTAAGGTTCCTCTTGTTTTCTTATCAAGTTACTTAAGCTGTAGTTGATTTTCCCTTTCTGAAGCATCATAACTTGAACATTTGTCCAGGATGAGAATCGAAGATCTGAAGAGAGAGAGTGGATGGGCGAAAAGTATTTGATCCACTACTTTGACTACAGAACAGGAGATAAGGATTATATGATATGGGGTTTAACTGCCGGGATTTTGATCAGAGCTGCATCTGTGACTTATGAAAGACCACCTGCTTTTATCGAGCAGTGCCCTAAGTTTAAGTACCCTAAAATGGTAGAGAAACATACTTGTATGCCTTAATGAACATAATTTTTCGAATGATGCTTTCCTAGATTAGTCTTCTTCCACTAGAAGATCAACACCAAGACAATAACATTCCATACAATTGATTCTCTGTACCAGTGAATGCAGAACTTGGCTACTTGCTTATATATATGCAGACGCAGTAGCTGAAGCTCCAGTTTATTTCCTGCTGGGGCATCTCACTATAGGTTTCCATGAATCTTATGTTTGTCTTTAGATAATTGGAGGGGTTTCTTTCTCAGCATGATCTAGGTCAGTCTCTATTCTTGAATTTGAAATAATTATATTGTAACTTTTTCTAGGCTTCATTTCTAAGTTGTTCCTACAGGATTCTCAATTATGATGCAGAGAACAGTTGGCTTGTTATGATTCTAGGCAAACATCACCCTCAATTGTGGATTTGGAGGAAAACTCGTACTCAGTACTCACCTTCAAACACTCATTTTCCATTGTAATACTTGTACTAAATATTCGTATACTGAACAAATTTGAAAGCAAACTTGTCTTATGAGCCTTATGATTTTTGTTAATCATTGTAGATTCACGCATCAATTACATTGTTATCTCTGGACTAGACTTGTTGTGTTTCAATAATACATTCAGTTAGAATTTCTTATTGCTTGTAGTTAACCCAGGACCACCGTTTCTTCGTATTGGGACCTTTTTCTTCCTATTATTGCATGGTTTTGGTTTTATCTGGTTCTGCTTTGGTAGTTTTTTTCTTTGCGAATGGCTTCAATTCTGCATGAATGAATTTTTGGTTGAATCTATCCACATAAGTGCCACTGTAGACTTGTTCTAAAGCAGGGATTTGCACTGGCTACCCATTCTAAAGGCAGGAACTTGATCTTTTTCCTATTGTTGCTGCTTATTCATGGAGAATCCCGCAATGTACCGCAATTGTAAGTGTCCTCTATTTATTATCTTGTGGATAAAATTAAATTTGTTGTTTCCTTATTTAAGAAAGAAACTGAATTGTGGATCCTTTCAAAATTGAGTTATTTTCGGTCCTTAACAGAATGTTTCAAGATTTGAAGTTGATGTGCTAGCCTTTTCCTTTTGATGTGTATACTTTTGATGAAGCTGTATACAGTTAGGATAGGTTCAATCTATTTGATTTTTAAAGTTGTCAAGCTGCCTATTAGTTTTAGTTCTATTAGTTGACATTCATCAGTTAATACCAAAGGTGGATTGGTTGTAAATTTTGATAAATTATAAGGCTGAATTTGCTGAATATTGTCTTGGAAAAGTAAGGCAACAAAGGACAAATTTTCCGATAGATATGTAATCGAATTTTTTTTTCTGTTTCTGCAGCTCATTATTGGTAAATCTGGCTGCTTACAAAGCATGATGGTCCTCCCTATATGAAGGGTACTGGTTGTAAAGTTTTATTGATTGGATGTGAGAGAGCGGTATCTTCTCCTTTGCGTCAAGCACTTAATAATTTTTCGGTATGTATTATGTTTCTTTGCCATGCACTTATTAATGAAACTTTAAGGCGGTTGTTTTTTTTTATAAATTTTTTCTTGCTGAAATGAAAGAGAAACTTGTGGTCCATAGTTGTTGAAGAAGATATGTGAATAATCTATAATTAAAAACCAATATTAGTTCCCTAAGCAATTTTCCGATGTTTTACAAAAAGTCAACGGGGCATTCCGAGAATCGAACTCGGGACCTCTCGCACCCAAAGCGAGAATCATACCACTAGACCAAATGCCCTGTTTTCTTATGCTTTAAGAAAATTGTTGCTTCCCTTTGCTTTTGTGATCAATTCTTAATCACAATTCGTTTGCTGTTTTCTCCAGCTCATTCTTTTTATATCTGGCTTCTTACAAAAGATGACAGTCATCCCAACATGAAGTTTACTGAGAGGACTTGACAGCGGTATGCTCTTATATTCCATTGCATTAAGCACTTAAAAATGAAACTTAAGGTGCCTGTAGTTTGTATTTTCTTTAACTTAAATGAAAGGGTAATATGTGGTTCGTACTTGGATCAAGATCTACGATTAGGACTAAGTAAAGCAATTTGCTACTTGAATTTAGATCATTTATGAAAAAAGTCAATGGGGCATTCCGAGAATCGAACTCGGGACCTCTCGCACCCAAAGCGAGAATCATACCACTAGACCAAATGCCCTGTTGTTAAGCAATTTAGTTTAAACGTTGTAGATTTGGTCAGAGTTTGATCTCATTCTCTTAATTGACTTTTACAAAATAAATATTTTAGTCTTAGTAGGATGTTCCTAGTTCTAGTCTATGAGATCCATTAATCTCTTTCAACTGAAATTCCTGTGAATTATGATTTGCATTTTTGTCTGAATCTCTGGTTTGTATTGTACTCCGTGTGGAAAAACTCAAAATATATATTGGTCCAATTGTTTAAACCTCTTCCGCTAAAAATCATTAGACGAGTTAGTCCTATGATTTTGTGATTTTGTTTGTCTTAACATTTGACTGATCATGCTGCCATATCAATTGCTTAGCTATCGACTGACTCCCTAGACAATACGCTAGTAACATTGCTGAAGTTTTAGGTAGATACTCATAGTTGATCTCCTGGATGTGATCTGTGAAAACCAGGCACCAAATAAAAATTTGTATGCAAAAATTCTGAACTTGAACTGACAACATATGGTTTCACAAAAGGTCAACGGGGCATTCCGAGAATCGAACTCGGGACCTCTCGCACCCAAAGCGAGAATCATACCACTAGACCAAATGCCCTGTTATTGATTTAGCAGGAAATGTGTTGTTGTTTTATCCTGTGAAAAAGAGAATACAACCTTCACTCCGTTTTAAAGGAAATTATAATTTTGAGGTTTCTATTCTCAATGATGCTGGCAAAATGCAGTAAGTTCAAAATGTTCTATATTTTATATTTGGATCTGACATTAGATTGCTTCTTGTTTAGATAATCTAGGCCATGTTTTAGATCTAGTTCTATTAGTTGACTTTCAGGTTTAATAGTAAAGGTGGATTGCTGTAATTTAATTTTGATGAAATGTTAGCTGGCATTTAGAACATCATTTTACAAAAAGTCAATGGGGCATTCCGAGAATCGAACTCGGGACCTCTCGCACCCAAAGCGAGAATCATACCACTAGACCAAATGCCCTGTTGTTAATTTAAATCAGTTCAAGCAATTTGTGTGGTGTTTGCATCTTAGGGGACGGAAAGCGTTGGATCCAACACAAACCCGCTGAAGTGGAAATTGTGTTTGATGCACCCTTTGAAATGTTCTGTAATGTTCTTGTTTCCTTGTCAAAATCAATTTGTAGTTATGTTTTTAGCTCCTCTGAAGCATCAGTGCTTGAAAAGTATATGTTAAGTATGACAACGCAGATTTTTAGGAGAGAGTACATTGGTTTAAGCATCTGATTCACTTCTTTTACTAACAGGTTGTAAGAATTACTGTTGCTTCCCTTTGCTTTTTCATTATATGCTTAATCACGACCTGTGAGTTGTTTCTGCAGTTCATTCTTGCTGAATCTGGCAGCTTGCTTACCAAATGTGATGGTTTTCATTCTTGTTCATAGATTGGACGCGAAACAGTGGTATGTTTTTCTTTTCTTTTGCCATTATGCACTATATAGATTGGACGGTTTGGTTTTTTTTTTTTTCCTCTTGCTTAAATAGAAGGAGAACATATGGTCTTCATTTGTTGAACAAGACCTGTGAAAAATCTTGGATTGAATCAATACTATTTTACAAGCATTGTTAGGCTGGCATTTAGATTATGTATATTGTTTACAAAAAGTCAATGGGGGCATTCCGAGAATCGAACTCGGGACCTCTCGCACCCAAAGCGAGAATCATACCACTAGACCAAATGCCCTGTTTTTATTATGTTGTTCAGTTAATACCTCCAATTAGCTTTCTCTCTTTTCTTTCAGAGATTTTTTGCTGCATTTACTTTTCCAGTAGATACTCAATCGAAAATCTTTTTCTGGGTATGCAGGTCATTTTTGGTGAATCTGGCTACTTACAAAGCATGATGGTCCTCCTTATATGAAGGTTACTGGTTAAAAATATTTATTGATTGTACGTGAAGACCGGTATGTTCTTCTTTCCTTTGCATTAAGCACCATATAATTTTTCTTGCTGAAATCAGAGGGTAATATATGGTTCTTACCTGGATTTGATTGTGAGAGTACCAAGACTAAATAAAGACCTGATTTGCTAAGCATTCTGCTTGAATTTAGATCATCTACTTAAAAAACACAATGGGGCATTCCGAGAATCGAACTCGGGACCTCTCGCACCCAAAGCGAGAATCATACCACTAGACCAAATGCCCTGTTGTATATGCATTATGGTTCAAACATTTTCTATGCTCTTCTATACTTTTAAAATTGTCAGTTGGTTTAGATTCAAACTATTATTTATCTGATGCTTGAAGATGTTAATGAGCCATCTGAAGTTCTATTAGTTGACTTTCCGGTGGATTGTTTGTAAATTAGTCTTGGTGGAGTTTTTAGGTAGATACACATCGTTGAAATGATGAATACGATCTGTGACAAATCTGGAAGCAAATACAAATTTGTATGCAAGTCTAAGCTGGCATTTAGAACATATGTTTTACAAAAAGTCAAAGGGGCATTCCGAGAATCGAACTCGGGACCTCTCGCACCCAAAGCGAGAATCATACCACTAGACCAAATGCCCAGTTGCTAAGCGTTTTATTTATAGCGTTGATGATCACACTGTTTTGTCATATTGTGATACCATTGTCTTTCTGACTTCACTAAATAGATTAGGATATTCCTAGATCTATTATATGATTATCTCTTTCAACTGAAATTCGAATGGTATGACCACTTGCATTTTCCTTAGAAAGTGGATATTGATCATTAGAAGAGGTGGGTAGTCCTCTTTTCCTACATTTTCCGACTTGCTGTTTACATCAATCATTTGAAAAACATCCAGTAGTTTGATTCACTACGATCTTTTTTGTCTTAAGTTTGATTGGATCGGACTGCTATACCAAATTCTTGGTTATTGACTATTACCCTAGACAATGCCCCAATAAGAATCCATTGAAAAATCATTTGCTGTTCTCTCAAACGGGAATTTTTTTTCCACCTTTGTTATTTTCTTTACAGTGTAACCTACGATTCCTGTTCTCTAATTGTTTGGCTAAAATTGCTTTTGAAATGTATGTTTTGCAATTGAGCCAGAAAAGAAGAACCCTTTTTTGTCATACATATTTTAGTTATGTTTGGAGACATCTATTGTAGAAAAAGTCAATGGGGCATTCCGAGAATCAAACTCGGGACCTCTCGCACCCAAAGCGAGAATCATACCACTAGACCAAATGCGCTGTTTTATCTTCTATTAGCATTCTAGCCCTTCTTTTAGTGACTTTTTGCTACCCTTTGCTTTCCGTTATATGCTTAATCATGACTCTTTTATTGTTTATGCAGAAATTGCAGATCATTCTTTGTGAAATTGGCAGCTTACAAAATGTGAAGGTCCGACCTATATGAAGTTTACTGGTTTAAACAGCGGTACGTTCTTATCTTCTTTGGCACTAAAGCTGTTAAAAAAGTCAATGGGGCATTCCGAGAATCGAACCTCTCGCACCCAAAGCGAGAATCATACCACTAGACCAAATGCCCTGTTGTTTATGCAATCTGGTTCAAATACTCTTTGTGGTCTTCTAGACTTTTTTTTTAAAAAGAAGCTGCAGTATGAAATTTAACCACGACGTTATGCTTTTGGATTGTTGCTATATGGTGAGAGGGTCTTTCCAAGATATTAGATGTTAAAACTCGTATCTTTATTTACGCAATCCCGTAAGACTTTTGACAATCTAATTATTCTGTAGTAAGACTTGTGCTAACCCCGTAAAAGGATGCTTCTTCTTTTATTTTTGTTATAGGTTCTACGTCGATGGTTCTCTGCTTTATGTCTAGCCTTCTTTTCTTGTTATGGAGTGAAGGATGCACAATTTTCCAGTTCTAAGGGAATGTTTTGTTGTATGCACTTTCCAAGGCAGAATCTTTGCAAAGTAATTCTTGTGATTGGACTCTAATGGAACAAAGGAGCATTTACTCTAACACCAAACTCTGCAGAAGTAGAAACTTTGTTTGATGCACACCCTTTTCGAATGTTTTGTAAGTTTCCTCATTTTGATATAAGCTTACTTTAGCTATAGTTTTGTTTTCATTTCTTCTCAAGTATGATTAATGCTTGAAAAACAATGTGCAGGATGAGAATCGGTGAAGAGCCCTAAATTGAAGTACCCTATATATGCCCTTAGTGAACGAGTTTTTCCTGAATATGGTTCTCCTGGAACGACGAACGAGTCTGCTTGTGCTAGAAGATGAGCAAGAAGACCACTCCTTACGACTGATTCTCTGTTTGTTGGATTATCATTTCGAGTTGTCTCCTTTTTCTTCATCTCCTAGATTAGTCGTTTACTGGAGAGTTGTCTGGTTATGGACATATTCTTTTGCAAGAAACACCTTCAAGCTTGGATTAGGAGGATAGCTCCACTCTGCTATTCATGTTAATGTACTCTAATCAAAATTTAAAGCAAAACTTGTTTTGAGCATTTACATGTTGTAACAATCTAGTTGATATCATTGTTTTCAAAATTTACAAAGTAATCAGATTCTCATCTTTTGACATTCGGTTTGCTTTCTGATAGTTTTGGTTTTAATTGGTTCTGTGTAGCTGTTTCCAAGCAGGATTTTTGGGATGTCCTGGTTTATAATTTATAGAACCGAATGAAAATTATAGGTAAGTATTTGTTTTAGTTTAGATTCGATCTCTTTTATTTTTAAGATAAAATCATAAAACTAATTTTTTTTTTCACTCAATAGAACACTTCAATCGATTATGAAAGATTAATACAACTTTGGTTTATATTTTTTTCTTCGACCAACAACCACTATGAGAGAAACTAAAGGACCTAATTTCATCACTACACAATTAAGTAATTGAATGCACCTGAGCTGCTTAGATTGGAAAACTGAGATTATACAAAGATTGATTCTAAGTCCTAAACCTATCCCCTAAACTCTCTGAAAGCTGTAAAAACCTTACAACATTCTAATACAAAGTTAATGATAAACCGTATATGTCGTGCAAGTCGTTAAGAGTTGCCTCAAAAGTGTTTATGCTCTACCAGAAAAAACCTGTCCAAGATTGTTCACCGGTTGAATCTGATTCACTACCCAATTCGTCATCATAGCTCTCAGTGGGAAGCAACTTGATTCTGTCAGCATGCTCAACTAACCAATCACTGAATCCTGGAGAAGCTGCAAGTCCTGCCATTGCTTCCCGTGTCGTTTCTTGTGTCAATTCTTCATACTCTCTCTTCGACATCTTCTTCCGGTTTGGCGTCCTGTGGAATGTAGAATAGTAATCCTGATTTCCGATTGGTGTTCTCCGGTTAACTGAAGATGGTGAGCTCACATCGTAAGAAGGAGAGCCGGAATATGAAGGTACTCTCCTAGCACTCTTCCACAGTCCACCTCCCCCAGGGCGGCTAAGGAACTCAGCTCGTCCATGCATTATTGGACGTCTCTCACCAGCAGAAACCAGCCAATGACTTTGAGCTACAAAGCTTTTCATTTTACTAACAAGAAAACCAAGCAAGCTAGCTAAAACAATAGCTCCCATCGCCATAGGAGTATCAAGACTACTCTGTAAAATAAACGTAGCAGCAACAGACCGCATCGCCCATTTCACAAACTGCGCCACACTAGCATCCACACCTCCTCCATCTTTCGAAACAACAAATTTCCTCACTGTCCAGAATCCAAAAGCAGCTCCAGTAATAACAATCCCAACAAGCACAAGAATCGCTACCGGATTATACATATCCTCACTCAACCCGAAATTAACAAGAATCATATTCACCATCATCGAGAACTGATGTAAAATGAAAGATCCAGCACCAACCACAGATCCATAAAACGCAAGATACATAACATTTTTCCTCCCAGCAGGCAATAGCCTCATAACCTGGAAGATAATAATCAAAACAACGAGAAAAACACCAACCGCCATAGAACTCGTATAGTAAAAAGGTAGCCAGCTACTAACAACAGGTGCTAACAAAATCACAATCAATCCCGCCACAAGACAAAAAATCCGCCATTGATGAAACTCTTCTGTAACGTTGATTGTAACCAGTGAACGAGACGATTCATATTCACTACCACTGAATTTCACATCAATGTATTGTTTATCATATGGAGATATTACAGAGCTGCTCCAGATCCCTTTCTGAAGATTTTTCCAATTTGATTTCTCACAGTGGCACATTCCAAGTGTAGCATTCCGGTGAACACAAACTTGAATTTTGATGTGTAGCTTCTCTGGGATTGGAACTAAGTTTACCCTAAGAGAGTTAGCGAATTTCCCTAATTTGGTTCTCGAATAGCCTGAAACTTGGATTCGCTCACACGGACTAAGGCTAACATTCAGAGCTGGCTCGCTAGGACCAACACTTTTGAGCGCCGCCGCGTAGGATAACAAGAGAAAGACAACAAGAGGAAGGAGAAACCAGATTCGATGAGGAAGACGAAGAAAAGAAGACGAAGTAGCCATTGCCACCACAGGGAAGCAAAGACGGAGCAAATGAATAAGCGACCTTTTAGGGTTTAATTTAATATATAGAAGAAAATTGCAGCAAATTGGTTCCGTTGTTTTGACGCAGAATTTAATATGTAATTGGTTCCGTTGTTTTGACGCAGTTTCGGTCGGTTTAGTTAAACCAGATTGAATTAATTTCTTTTGATGCAGTTTCGGGTTAGTTAAACCAGCTATATAGAAAGATTCACGCTCGTGGTTTCGAACAGATGTTAGCGTATCCATTGTATTATTCGTTGTCCGGTTGATTTGCTGATTCACGAGGCACCCGCCCACCAGTTGTTCGACAAAAGTCCTAAACCAAAAACTTTCGCCTATAGCGATTAGAGTGTGTCCACCTGAAATGTTGGATAAATTTCTTCTTTGGCGTGAGGTTTCGCGGAGTTTGGAGAATCGTTACAGCTTAAAGCGAGAATCAATCAGTGGCGCGTTATGCGTTTCTTCTTCTTAGGTGGGCACGTATTTGCTCTTCAATGCTTTTGTAGGTATTTTCCTATCGCTAAGAATGTAATGTAGATGTATGTTGCTTAGTTATCGCCTCTCCTAGGTTAAAATTAAGGCTGAAATGTCTCTGTGTCCTATAATTTTGAGCTGCCTATTAGACCTCCTTATGCTTGAAACTCAATGAAGGGCATTCTTTGAATAGAACCTAGGGCCTCCGTAACTTGTCCTAAATGCTTTGTTGCCGATGTAATTGGGTTCAAGCATTCTGTTTTTGGTGTTTAAAATGATTTGTTGAAAAAGGAATGAACTTTCCATTGTAAATTTACACCCAAGGCTTGTCCTAATTCCTATTGAAGGGTCTCGTGCTTTGATGAATCTGGAAACTTATATAATTGGTTTACATTCAGTCTATTTTATTTCTGTATCTTGAAGCTGTTACTGAGACCTATCAGTTGATTTTTTGGTGGATTGTTTGTGAATCGATGTTGGTGGGGAGTTACTTTTAAGTAAATCAACATTGTTCAAATGATGTATGTGATCTGTGAAAAATCCGGTAGCAAGTAGAGATTGTATGCAAAAAGTCTTAGCTGGCATTTAGAGCATATGTGTTGCAAAAATCCAAAGGGGCATTCCGAGAATCGAACTCGGGACCTCTCGCACCCAAAGCGAGAATCATACCACTAGACCAAATGCCCTGTGTTTATTATGTTGTTCAGTTAATGCCTCCTATTAGCATTCTCTCTTTTCATTCGGAGATTTGTTGCTCCGTTTGCTTTATCGGTAGATACTTGATAGAAATTCTTTTTGTGTTTCTCCAGCTCATTCTTTGTGAATCTGGATGCTTGCAGTACATGATGGTCCTCTCTATATGAAGGGTACTGGTTGAAAAGATTTATTGATGGGACGTGAAATAGCGGTAAGTTCTTCTTTTCCTTTGCATTAAGTACTTAATAACTTCTCTTGCTGCAACTGAAAGGTAATATATGGTTTTTACTTGTATCAAGATCTGCGATAGAACTAGGACTTAATAGAGATCTGATTTCCGAGGCAATTGTCTGCTTGAATTTAGAGCAACTACGTTAAAAAATTCAATGGGGCATTCCGAGAATCGAACTCGGGACCTCTCGCACCCAAAGCGAGAATCATACCACTAGACCAAATGCCCTGTATTTGAATGTCCCCATTGAAGCATTTTGTTGTTGTGTAATCCTGTGGAAAAGAGAATTCATGCTTCACTCCGTTATTACAGGAAATTTAGTCTTGGGGGGTTTGTTTACCTTTTGAGGATTCTATTCGTGATGAAGCTGGCAACATGCAGTAAGTTCGAATTCTTTAACTTATATATTTGAATCTGATATAGAATGCTTTTTTGTTTAGATAATCTAAGAAAGAAACTATGTTTTAGATCTAGTTCTATTAGTTGACTTTCAGGGCTTAATGGATTGTCTGTAATTTAATATTGATGAACTGACACTGTTAGCTGGCATTTAGAACATTGTTTTACAAAAAGTTAAATGGGGCATTCCGAGAATTGAACTCGGGACCTCTCGCACCCTAAGCGAGAATCATACCACTAGACCAAATGCCCTGTTGTTTACAAAATCTGGTTGAAATACTTTTTGTGGTCTTCTAGACTTTTTTTGAAAAAGAGGCTGAAGTACGAAATGTTTCCTAGTTGAAGCTGCAGAAGGGGAGGTGTTGTCTGATTGAAGAGATCAAGTCATTGGATGTAAAATCGAAACTTTGGTGTTCCACCATTTTCTTTACTATCTTTCAGATGTTTTACAAAATGTCAATGGGGCATTCCGAGAATCGAACTCGGGACCTCTCGCACCCAAAGCGAGAATCATACCACTAGACCAAATGCCCTATTTTTATTATGTTGTGTAGTTAATGCCTCCTATTAGCATTCTCTCTTTTCATTCGAAGATTTGTTGCTCCGTTGCCTTTCCAGTAGATAATCAAGATTCTTTTTGTTCTCCAGCTCATTCGTTGTGATCGGGCTGCTTACAAAACTTGATCCTATGTGAAGATTACTGGTTAAGATTTATTACTTTGGATGTGAAAGAGCGGTATGTTCTTCTTGTCCTTTGCATTGTGCACTTAATTATTTCTCTTGCTGAAATAAATGGGTAATATATGGTTCTTAGATGGATCAAGATCTGTGACAGAACTAGGACTAAGTGAAGATCTTAATTTTCGATTTAATTTTCTGCTTGAATATTGGTCACATACTTTAAAAAAAAAAGTCAAAGGGGCATTCCGAGAATCGAACTCGGGACCTCTCGCACCCAAAGCGAGAATCATACCACTAGACCAAATGCCCTATGTTGATTTATCCCATTGAAGCATTGTTTTCTTATTTAATCCTAAGAGATTCATCATGCTTCACTCTGTTATGACAGGAAATTTACTCTTTGAGGATTTACCTTTCAAGGATTCTATTCGTGATGAAGCTGGCAACATGCAGTAAGTTCAAACTGTTTTTGATTTTATAATTGACTATGACATTAGAATGTTTTCTTGTTAAGATAATTTAAGAAAGAAATAACGCTTTAGATCTAGTTCTATCAGTTGACTTTCGGGGCTTAACAGTAAAAGTGGATTGTTTGTAACTTAATATTGATTAAGTGTTAGCTGGCATTTAGAATATTTTTTTTACAAAAACAGAATGGGGGCATTCCGAGAATCGAACTCGGGACCTCTCGCACCCAAAGCGAGAATCATACCACTAGACCAAATGCCCTCTTGTTAAGCAATGTTGTTAAACCATTTAGGATTTGGTCACATTCAGATCTGTTCTTTTAGTTGACTACTAAAGAAATATTTTAGTGTTTAAAGAAGTTTCGTTAGTGTAATCTATGAGATCTGTTTCGATTCAAATCCAATTAAAATGATCATTTGCATTTTCGTTATTTGAAATGTACGGTTTGCAGTAAAGAGAAAATAAGGAACTTCTTTGTTCATACATATCTCATTTTGGGTTGGAAAAATGATACCACTAGACCAGATGCCCTGAACTGAAACTTATAACATATGGTTTTAAAAAAAGGCAATGGGGGCATTCCGAGAATCGAACTCGGGGCCTCTCGCACCCAAAGCGAGAATCATACCACTAGACCAAATGCCCTGTTTTTATACAACTTAGTTAAAACGTGGAAGATCACTATATTTGATCATATTGTGATCTCATCCTCTTAGTTGACTTTTCCTATATGATTTAGTTTGAATAGGATGTTCCTAGATCTCTTCTATAAGATCTCTTTAAACTGAAATTCCAATGATATGATCCCTTGCATTTTCTTTTTAAAGAGGAATTCTTGCTTGCAATGTACTCTGGATGGAAAAATTTCAGCGCAATATTATTAGAAGAGAATAGTCCTCTTGTCCTAGTTTCTCAAGTAGTTTGATTCCTTGTGATCTTAATATATGACTTGATAATGCTGCTATACCATATTCTTGGTTATTGACTAATACCACAATAAGAATCCATTGAAAAAATCATTTGCTGCTCTCTCAAACTGGAAGCTTTCCCTTGCTGTTTTTTGGGGTTTTCACTATCTAAAAGCTGGTTCCTGATTTCTAATCCTTTTTCTGAAACTGCGTTTGAAATGCATGTTTTGCATTTGAGCCCGAAAAATTTTCTTTCGTCATACATATTTTAGTTTGGGTTGGATACATTTACTAAGAAAAAAGTCAATGGGGGCATTCCGAGAATCGAACTCGGGACCTCTCGCACCCGAAGCGAGAATCATACCACTAGACCAAATGCCCGGTTATTGGCGTTATTCAGTCAAAGCATTCTTTTTGTTTCGTTCCCCTTTCTTGAAATAGTTTTTAGAACAAAAACTTTGAAGAAGTGAACGAGGCATTCCGAGAATTGTACTTGGGACCTCTCCCACCCTAAGCGAGAATCATACCACTAGCCCAAATGCCCTGTTTTTATATCTTGTTAAAGCATTCTACTTGCATTTTGTTTTTCTTTACGAAAATATTTGCTTCCCTTTGCTCTTTCGTTAGATGCGTATTCATAATTCTTTTGCTCTTTCTGCAGCTCAATCTTGATGTATTTGGCGAACTGTATGAAGTTTACTGGTTAAAAAGACTAATATACTAATTGGACGTGAAACAACGGTATGTTATTATGTTATTTTTCTTTACCTTATGCAGTTAATAATCAAACTTTAAGGCCATTTCTGTTTTTTTATTTTCTCTTGCTGAAGTGAATGATAAAGTTTTGGTCCGTAGTTTTAACAAGATCTGTGAAAAAACTATGAATAAATCAAGATTGATTTTCTAAGAAATTTCCAGCTTGCATTTAGAGCATATGTTTTACAAAAAGTCAATGGGGGCATTCCGAGAATCGAACTCGGGACCTCTCGCACCCAAAGCGAGAATCATACCACTAGACCAAATGCCCGGTTATTGGTGTTTTAAATTCAAAACTCTCTCTTTGTTTACGGACTCCCAGCTTGAGGCTTTAGGTAGTAGCTATTTCAACCAGAGGGAAAATTTTACCACCAGATATATGCCTCTGCTTTATAGATCGTTGAAAAGGTTTCAGTTTGTTGCTTGGCCTGTTCTTGATTCTCAAATTCATTGAGATTATTGTGTAATACTTGTCCAATTGTTGTCGTTCGGTTTTGGAGAATCTAGTGGCACAAAGCTAGTAGAACTCTTGTCTCATGTTTTCTGGTTGAATCTGCAGAAGGGAGGTGTTTCTATTTGAAGAGATCAAAGTTATTAGATGTGGAAGCCATACTTTGGTGATACACCAGCTCCCTTGGTTAGGTTTCAGCAGTTGATCTTGAAAAATGACGATGTCTCCAATCATAACTACATTTGTTGACGAACTTCCCTGGACTCCAGGGACCCTGAACCACATACCGAGAAGGTCTATTGTGTGACATTCTTCAGGTTCTGAAGGAGCTCGGTATAAAGAGGGAAGAAAGCAAGCGTCATTGAGGAACCATACCTAATACTGATCACTATAGGTGCCAACTCTAGAGAAAGGACAGTTAAAACTTATTTTTGTTTAAGCTTCTGTAATAGTTTAAGATATACACAGTAATTATATGCTAATTACTAGCTAATAAGCCCATTCCTTGGGAAGAAAGACTTGTCTAGAATGAGAGGAGGTGACGGGGCATGGCTTCTTCGTGGGTCTCTTCTCTTCTGAGCTACTCACTGGTCTCTCGGGAAGAAACACGCCAGTGCCACGTGGCTTAACTCGCGCTGCACCTGTATCACCACTTGGCCTCACCAAGGAACTGTAGTGGTTCATCTCGTACCACATTCTTGGCTTCCGATCATAGTAGCTACGTCCTCGATTACTCTATCAATTATGTAACAAAGATTGATTAATTATACATCCTTAACATTAATAACAATAGCTCATCATGTTATAAAAGAAGAAAAACCTGTGGGAATGGACAAGTGCGATCAAGAAAGAGTTCATTAAAAAGATTTGAAGGTAAGAGAAACAATACTTCCTCCACACCAACCACAATATCTCCTTTGCAAGACATATTGATATGGTTTTTCAAAGACTACTACTACAAAACTCCCTCCAATGCAATTGTATATTTATATGTTACTTAGCTCAAGATTCAAGGGGTAATAAGGGTCGGGGTCAAGTTTGGTGAACCTCTCTTGTAATGTGGAGTGGTGGTGGTGGTTGCAGTTTATATATGTATGTGGCTTCTCTCTATGGTTTAGCTCGGCTTAAACCATAATTACCAGATTTGTGTGTAGTTGAGAGGTGGTTATATACATTCTTCTAACCCACCACACCAACCCTTTTGTATTCATTTGACACCTTTACCCCATATAGATTTTGTAAATGGTTGACCTAAATTATTCCAATCAAAATGTATCTATGTTTACTTTGAAACAAACATGAAGGAGATGATTAAATAAATAATGACAAGCTTGAAAAATATTTATTCCGTCATCTTAGAGGTGTCCAATGTTTAATAATCCGGTTTATGAAATACAAACCAAATGTTATTGGTTTTGATTTTT